CCGTTTAGAGCAAGGGGAGGAAGATGGCTAATGTTTGGAGCACACCATGCAATCTGTAGACACCATCTAGTTACATACAGATGTCACAAGTTTTAATGCAGGGCCCCGGCAAAACCAAGTTCACCTGGCAGAAAAACGGAAGTGAGCATTCAACAAGTCTGCATTTTTTTTTTTTTTTGAGAGAGAGAGCACAAGTAAGCAAGGGGCAGAGAGAGAGAGAGAGAGAGAATCCCATGAGAGGCAGAGAGAGAAAGAGAGAGAGGGAGAGAAATAGAGAGAGAGAGTGAAAGAGGGAGAGAGAGAAAGCAGGTCTCACCCAAAGTGGGGCATGGATCACAAACTGTGAGACCATGACCTGAGCCACTCAGGCACCCCAGTCTACATTTTTAAATTACATTTTAAGAGGCGCCTGGGTGGCTCAGTCAGTTAACATCCGACTTTGGCTCAGGTCATGATCTCACAGTTAGTGAGTTCAAGCCCTGTATCAGGCTCTGTGCTGACAGCTCAGCTCCTGGAGCCTGCCTGGGATTCTCTGTCTCCTCCTCTCTCTCTGCCCCTCTCCTCTCTCATAATAAACTTTAAAAAAAGACTATGAAATTCTACATGGATAAAAAGGTTAGAATAAAAGAGTCACTAGATGGGTTTTAGAATAAAACTTTAAGTGACAGAATAAAGAGTCAATGAATTTGAAGACAGATAAATAAAAATTATCCAATAGGCAGAACAGAGAGAAAAAGAATTTTTAAATCAAGAGTCCTCAAGGAATTGGGGGCCAGCCTCAAAATGTCAATGTATGTGTAACAGGAATGTTGAATAGAAAGGGACAGAAAATAGATTTGAAAAGTAATGTCCAGATATTTCCCAAATTTCATTTAAGACATAAATGCACAGATTCAAGCTCAGTGAATCCTGAGCAAGATAAATAGAAGGAAAATCATACTTAAGCATGTGGAGCAGCATTGCTGGTGAGTTTAAAATAGTACAGCTGCTTTGCAAAAAGTCTGGCAATTTCTTATAAAACTAAGCATACACCTACCTACCTGTGACTCAGCAATTTCATTCCTGGGTATTTACCCAAGATAGATGAACAGATACACCCAGAAAGGACTTGTATTAAGTCTTACCGAGAGAATGGATAAACCCACTATGGTATCTGCATACAGGGAATGCAACTCAGTGACAAGAAGGAATAAAATATGGATTTATGTCATGACATAAATGGATTTCACAAACATTTATGTGTAAAGAAGCCAGATGTAAAGGGGTACGATTTTACTCCACATATGTGACATTCTCAAACAGGCCAAATGAATCCATACTTTAAAAACAAAACAGGGGTGCCTGGGTGGCTCAGTTTGTTAAGTGGCCAACTTTGGCTCAGGTCATGATCTTGTGGTTCGTGGGTACGAGCCCCGTGTCGGGTTCTGTGCTGACAGCTCAGAGCCTGGAGCCTGCTTCAGTTTCTGTGTCTACCTCTCTCTGCCCCTCCTCCACTCATGCCCAGTTTCTGTCTCAATAATAAACATAAAAAAAAAAAAAATGAAACCACAATGGTGGTCATTCCAGGGACTAGGAGAGGAGACCCCGGGGTCTGAAGAGTATGAGGCAACATGCTGAGGTCACGGCAGTGCCGGCCACCTTGACAGGATGTGCATTACAATAGCGTACATACTGTTAAAACTCATCGAATGGTATACTTCGGATGTTGCCTTTCACTCTTTTACCTCAAAAATATTAAATATTAGTTAGAAATATTAAACTCTAATTTATGACATGTCTACTGAAATGTTTAGGGGTGAAAATACTGCAACCTACTTTGAAATATATGAAATAAGGTGGATTGATGGACAGACAGATGGATAGATATGGCTCTATGGGTGTTAATTAAACACTTTCCTTGTAGGTTTCCGTGGTTAAAGGATAAACTGTTGAGGGGAAGGATATTTACGTAACTCTTGAGGTCTGCTGTGGAACAGAAGGACCATAGTTTGAAACTCAAGAGTTCAGAGACCAAGCTTTGAGCCCCAAGCAATGCAAGTGATGGCCTGTTTCCCCATTTCTAACACTAGGGTGCTAGACTAGCTGGGTACTGGATGCCTTCTAAGTACATCATTGGTCTAAGGCCTGAGACTGTCAAGATCAATGAATAACCAACAGGCGGCAAATATGAAGAAATCTGTGCATTTGTAGGTACAGCTGTGCTGGTGTTCGTTGGCTCAGAAAGGTCCCCTCAATCCTGAGTGCTGGGCATGGGAAGATGTCTACCATTTTGTAAACCATCTCGTGATGTTCCTCTACCCCCCGCGTCTTCCATTTCACTAATACTTTGTCCCGGGTTATTACTCCATACTATCCTTCCCACCTTAGAGGATGCAAATGCTGCTCTCACTATTGAGAAACTCCTTTCCCTTCCCTCAACCCCTACTTCCTGGTCATTCTTAGACCTCGGCTTCCCTTGGCCGAGGGACCACAGACTAGACTGGGCGCTCCTCACCCCACTTCCACAAAGCACATGTAAAATGACCGAAAGTCGGTTATTTGACGATATTTACTGTCCATCCTTCTCTTTAGACTTGAAGCTCCTTGAAGGCAGAAACTGGCCTGTTCCCACCTCTCCCCTGAGTGACCTGCAGACAGTAGCAATGCCAACATTCACTGAGCGTTTGCTAAGTGTCAGGCACTGTTCTAGGTGCTTCACACCTATGACTGCATTTAAGCTCTTTTTAGGTCTTCATGTCCTTGGTGAAGAGCCTCCCCTGGGCTTTACATACCACCACTGCTCAATAAATATTTACCAACGCCCAGAAGCGCCAGGCACTGCGCTTGATCGACAGGATATAGGAGTAAGTAAGAGGCCCCGGTGCCTAACTCACTAAGCGCAGCCTGGTAGGAAATACACCCAAATAAAGTGGGGGCTAGTCATCAAATGACAAGTAATAAGAAGGAAGAAATACAGGTTATGTGGTAAAACACTTTTTTTTAAGTTGCACCCGATTCACTTTTTTGGTAAAAAACATAACTCGGAAATCCATCCATTCACCTGGTCAGTCAGCAAGGGGCTACTCACCGCCTCGCAGACTGGGCAGGCGCTCTCGGGCTACGAGGAGGCAGCCGGTACACACAGAACGCTCAGTCTCGCGGGGAGGCTGCGGGGAGACCTGGCTACGTACCGGGACACACACGCCGTGGGACATGCACACAGCGGGCGTGGGCCACTCAGACGCGGCTGTCGCGGAAGCTCGCTCCCATCTGCTTTTCCAAATGGGGCCACGCTCGCCTTGCACTGTCCCCCACAGGCACTGCTGCCCCGGGTGTGAGTTCGACGTCAGCAGAGGCCCCTGGCCAGCAACTTAGCTTCATGCTAGGTTGCTGGTATGTGAAACAGAGAGGATGTCCATTTTAGACTTCGAGGTCATGACCCGAGCCCGAGTTTGAGGCTTAACCAACTGAGCCACCCAGGTGCCCCAAGAGAATGCCCATTTTATAGGGTTATTGCAAGGACTGAATGAAAGCATCCCGTGAACAATAAATGCTAGCATTCATCACTATTGGTATCAAGACTAGACATGGCTAAGACGCTTCATCTGAGCACGTGGCTTCCTGCTCCCAGAATGGCTCTTTCTTTCTCACTATGCCCAGTCCCTCCCACAAGCCAACCAGAACTCTCAGTTATGCAAAACTTATGTAGAAATTTAAATGGAAATCAGAGTGGGATCTTTTGCTATCTCCTAATGAAAATGCTCATTAAAAACTCTGCCCTTGGGGCGCCTGGGTGCTTCAGTGGGTTGAGTGTCCAACAATGGGTTGAGTATCTGTCTCCAGCCCAGGTCATGATCTCGAGGTTCACGAGTTCGAACCCTGCATTAAGCCTGGAGCCTGCTCCGGACTGTGTCCCCCTCTCTCCCTGCCTCTCCCCAGCTCATGCTCTTTCTCTCTCTCAGAAATAAATAAAAACATGAGAAAAAAATTTTAAAACTCTGCCAAACCCCCAACTTCGCCCCTCCCCAAAAGGTTAAACATACAACACTATTATCAATGAGTAAAACCTTTTAGGGTTAAAAGTGTAATTTTATTTAGATGTTACTTGTACATAATCTATAGTAAGATATACAAACAGATAAAAATTGTTTAACAGGAGGTTTTTTTTCTTTTTAATACCACTTTCAATTCGATTTACAACAGCATTGGTAATACTGCAAGGTGTGACAGATACTTTGATTTATAAAACAAAACTTACTTGCTACTCTGGTTGATACATTCCCACTAGTCTTTAATGGATTAAAATGTATCATGTATTTCAGGTGCAAATTATTACAAAACTCACAACCTAGCCACTTGGTGCTCAGAAAAGATTTTGATATTCTAAAAATTTACTGAAATGAAAATGTTAATTTTCGAACAGTATACGTTCACTCAAGGAAAACAGAAGAGTGCCAAATCCTACAGTTTGGGGCTCCCCATGGAAAACCAATCACATTATGTTTGTGTAGCTAATGTGTGTGGTTCGAGTTATCTTCTCGTCCCCTCTGCCTAATCTATGATAGGAGAAAAAAGCTGATCAGAAATTAACCTAAAATACACGTGGAGGGGGGGGGGGACCGGAGGACGGTTTAAAATAACCTTACGATATACAACTACTACTTTAAAATGTAAAATTCATAGATAGGAAATACCCTTTTAAATGTTTTTCTCCATTTGTTTTGGTAACTGTTTTTTGAAAATGAAAACTGAAAATTCAATATACTCACTTTTTCCTTTTCATGTACTAGCACGTTAGAAAAAAGTCTGGATTTCCATGTTAGAATATATCCGATTTGCTGAGAAAAATACTGCAAAAATAATCTAAATGGAAATTTAGTCCTTTTCCATTCTTTTAACGGCTACGCGAACACCCTAGGGCAGAAGGTTTTTCACAAGTCGGAAAATCAAGTTGAAGACGACTTGTTGATTAAACTACAGGAAGACAACTAATAATGAATAGGCTTATGAATATTTATGAATAAAGTGCCAGTAATTTTATTGTAATAAGATATAAATAGAAGAAATCCTGACATGGATAGTAGCTTCCTGTGTTCTCTTCGTCCTGAGAACCAAAGGGACATTAAAAGAAAACAAAGAAGCATTACCAAATTAGAAGTTCTAAAACTGTACAGGTAATTCCTAATCCAAAAGTAACAATAAGAACAAAATACTGAAATAGAGACGAAACAGGACCACAGATGGTAAAAGTCTTGGGAATAATGCCAACACCATAGGCCTTTACGCTGACATAAAGGGAGAGAAATCAAAGAGAGAACTTTAAAAGTTCATTACTAACTACAGCTTATACTCAATAAAATTATGATGTCTAGCTCCAGGAAACAGAAACTTCGCGAAGCATGGGTCAAAACAGCTAGTCCAGCTGAACTATCAGGGAATCTGATAGAGGAAGCACGGTTTTGGGAAGGGGGTGCAGATGTTAGGCTTTTCAGAGTCGCCAAATCGATGTGATTGAAACCCAAGGTAGAGGCTCTGTAGGGTGACCACCCTCAAGCCAAGTCCATGTCCGCTCGGGGACACAGAGACCTGGTGCGAGGGCGCAGCCAAAGTCCTCCTTGGTACCAGAAATCCCTCAGCCATAGTCCCGCAAAGACGAGTACCTTGAACCAGACATCTCTCCCTTGAGCTAAAAAAGACCCCTTCGTCATGACCGAGAGTCACGAACAACCGCAGTCCATTTGCAATGCTGTATTCGGGTCGGAATCCCTAGTTAAGTAAAGCGTCTCGGTGTATCTGTGCAGTGGGACCTAGAATCAAAGCCTGGAGGCATGTGTTTATTCGGAACACGCGGTGATCCTTCATCCTAAGTCCTAAGACACAAGCGGCCACCGGGAAGTTTTCTGGCGGTCTTCCTTCCTTGGCAAGCTGCACCCCAGGGCTCTCCTGTATTGTCGCGTGGGAAGCAGAGTGGGAAGGGCTAAGGCGAGGAGGGGGCCAGGGACCCGGTACGGCCGCGGGCCTGATCTATGAGGTACTTCTGAGAATTCACTGTGCCAACGACAACGTGAGAAAAGAGAACCGTGTGCTTTGAGGAGCAGGGCCACGGCCCCGCCCGGGGATGGATCCCTGATCTGGCCACGGCACCAGGAAATGCGAGCATGGGAAGCGCCCTCCCTGAGGCCCGGGGGTCCCGGACCACCGCGTCTGTGCTGGCTGGCTGGCGCCCAGGCCATAAGGGCTGTCACACGTTTCCAGCGCCACGCCCCACGGCCCCTGACCGAGGAAGAACCCCGATGCCCATGTTCCCCACTGCGTAGCTGCCCAAACCTCCGCTGGCAGCTGTCGCAAGCGGGGACCAAGGGCACGCCCACAGGGAACCCTGACTGCAAAGGGCCCTTCCAATCGCACGTTTCATGAGAGCATGCAAAGGAAATGAAATGACCTAACAGAACACTCGCTCCGATTCACATGGGGCTGGGGGGGGAGGGGGGGACTTCCAAGCCCAGACACCGAAAGCAGAAAACACTGGATTCTCCTTCCTTGTTACATCTTTCTCACTAGAACCAACTTCTTCTGAAACACATTTTAAAAAAAAAAAGAAACAAAACCAAGAAAAGGTGAAACAAGATCACGGACTGATTGGAAGACATCAGTCTGACACACGGTCATTAACCTTGCAACGACCTAACACCAGGCAGCTTCACAAACACACGGCAAGTCTGCAGGATTATAGTGACCAAGGAGAGGAAACCCAGACTGCACTAAGTACTTTCATGGCCAAGAAAATAGGAAGCAAAATGCTGTTTTCGGGATAATGCAATAGTTACGGCATATTTCCTCATGGGCAGCACGGTCCGCTATGTTCGGTGGTACTTAAGTATTACACAGTAAATACTGAAAAAACCCAGAAGTTTCGGATGTGCAAAAGCGATCTCACGTTATTAATACAAAAGTTGCTAAGCTACGGGGTTATAATACCACTATGTGGGGGTGGAGGGCACTGAAAATCTGCGACACGCCTTCCGACGCCCGGTCTCCCGCCGGCAACCGGCCGCTGCGCGTGCGCCCCGCCTCAGTCGGACCAGTCGTTCTCGTCGAACTCGGAGTCGTCATCAGAGTCGCTGTACTCCACAGCGATGCGTCGCGACAGGATGGTGGCCACGTCGTTCCCAACGGGCTCGCGCTTGGCCTCTTGTTCCCGCTGTTCTTGCACCTTCTTCAACTGGATCCCTGCAGGCGCGACACGAGGCGAGCACTTAATCCCTCCGCCGGCCCCAAATTAAGGAAAACAAAGAAGTCTGTAGCTTTCTTCCCCCGCCCGCTGACACCGAGGATATGGAAACCCGAGGAGAAAAACGCGTGGGGAACAGTTTTGTGACCTCCCCCCCCAAAAAAAAGAGGCACTCGAAGTGGAAACGTTTTTTATGGCAAAGTGTTTTATAGCAACGTGTTCAAATATAAAAAACTTAGAATTCCGGTGCATATGAACATCATGAAAGTTCTAGAGCTGGACCGTCCAATAGTGTAGCCACTAGCCACACGTGGCTAATTAAGGGTACACTTATTGGCCTCGGGCCACCATACTGGACACTATCTTGAACATTTCCTGGATGCTGCTGTAACTCTAAGGCCTGGAAAGCAGTCTTTTACCCCAACAGCCCGTGGCCAGTGCGGGGAGGTAACAGGTCTTTGGCTCACTGGTTACTGCTAAAAATGAATACAAAATACAATTGTCCAGGGGCACCTGGGGGCTCAGTAGGTTAAGTGTCCAACTTCGGCTCACGTCATGATCTCACGGTTGGTGGGTTCGAGCCCCTTGTCGGGCTCTGTGCTGACAGCTCAGAGCCTGGAGCCTGCTTCAGATTCTGTCTCCCTCTCTCTCTGATCCTCCCCTGCTCACGCTGTCTCTCTCTCTCTCAGAAATAAATAAAACATTGGGGCGCCTGGGTGGCTTAGTCGGTTAAGCATCTGACTTTCGCTTAGGTCATGATCTCACGGTTCGTGGGTTCGAGCCCCGCGTCGGGCTCTGTGCTGACTGCCAGCTCAGAGCCTGGAGCCTGTTTCAGTCTGTGACTCCCTCTCTCTCTGACCCTCCCCTGCTTACGCTGTCTCTCTCTCTCCTAGAAATAAATAAAAAACATTAAAAAAAAAAGAAAACATTAAAAAATTATAAAAAAATACAATCATCCACTTTCTTAGTAAGTAACAAAGAGGAACACAAAGATGAGTTAATGCATTAATTCTTTAACTTTTTCTTTGGAACAATTTCGGATTTATAGAGTGGCTATAAGACTAGCAGAAAAACGTCCCCATATAAATTCCACCTGACCATCTCGTCTTTAGCAACCCTTTTCTGGCGTCTCTTGCTCAGACTCACATACTTTTTTTCTGGATCACTTGGGAATAAGGAGCATATAGGGTCCCTTTGCCCCTAAAATACTTCATGTGTAATTCCTAAGAAGCAAGGATCAAAATCGGGCTGCTAGCCCAGATACAAATACTACCATCTAGTCCACAAATTTTATTTCAGTTCTGCCAGAAGACGTAACAATAGCAATGGCATCCTGGACCTATGAGGACCCTGAGCTTCGTGTGACACTCAGGTCTGACTGGTGGGGAATGTCCCAGGCGTCCTGTGAAGGACCAGGCTCCCTTCTCAGTCCCTTCTAAATGGAAACGAGACTGTGACCAAGAAATGGTGCCCCCCGGGGCTGAGAAGAAATGGTGTGGAACAGACTGTTAGTGTGGGGCTCTAGGGGGTTGCCGAAATGGCAAGCATCTGGACCACCCCGTCCTGAGGTGACCAGAGAGGCTCTATTTCTGTGCATCTCCTGTTCTGGGGTTCAGTGGAGGGCTTTAGTCTGACAAAAGCATTTGGCGGCTAAATAAATGCTGAAAAGCTTATTGGCTTAGCACATGAAGCTAAAAATATGGGATGTCTAGGACATAGCTTACATTTTTAAAAATAACTAAATCACATATACAAGCTCACTTTCTTTCATGTACACATTTACCCTTCGAGTAGAATACAGAGAAAAGATCCAGTTAATTAGTGATCATTTTTATGAGCTATTTCCAGTCAAGTAAAGGTTTCCTGAATTCTCACTGCTTTATGGGTGTGTTGCACTGACAAAAAACATACCTACTGTTAAACAAACAAAAAACAAAATCAAGGGGTGCCTGGGTGGCTCAGTCAGTTGAGCATCGAACTTTTGGTCATGATCTTGTGTTTTGGGAGTTCGAGCCCCCCGTTGGGCTCCACAGTTTACAGCGCAGAGGATTCTCTCTCTCCCCTTCTCTCTGCCCCCTCGCCCACCTGCGCTGTCTCTGTCTCTCTCAAAATAAACTTAAAACTAAAAATCAAACAAGTGTCCTTTAACTCTATGCTAAAAAACCAGTTCAGTGGAGAGCAGTCACTTGAAGACGACTAGGCTGTAGCTGGTTAGAGCCACAGAGAGATCTTTCTAGAAGGAAGACTGTTGCTTGAGATGCGCACTTACCCATGCGAATGGCAGCAAGAAGATCACTTCGGGCATCGCTTATGGGTGGCTGTGCCGTCTCCTGGCGCTTGGCCTCACCTGCCGGGGGGCCGTGCATCGGGGAGGAAGAGCGAGACGAGCCTGCGCCAGGTGGGCCTGGCGGGGGCGGCGGGGGGCCCGGGGGCGGCGGGGCCGTGACCACCAGCCCGGCAGCGGGAGGGTGAGGAGGGGCTGCGTAGGAGGAGCCCGCGGAGGCGGGGAAGGGGGGCTGCATGGGGATCTGGAGAGGACTGACGAAAGCAGTTTGTGCTGAAGGAATCATGGGGGGCGGCGGAGGCGGCGGCGGTCCTGAGGGGTTGTAATATTCAATGATCTGTGCTGGGAGCATCCTGATAAAGAGGGGAAACACAGAGAGTCATTAAAGCAGCAGGAGCCACCTCCCCTGAGGGTCTAACCCGCCTCCCTCGAACAATACATATGGTCCTCTGAACTTGTAACCCCGCAGGACGCAAAGAGCCATGCTTTGCATCAGCCATTTTTCCACGGGACATTATTCACTATGATGCAATGCAAGGGCATCGACTCAAATGAACCAAAACGAAAATCGCTCCAGAAGCAACTCTCTGTGCAAGGCTAGAATAAAACGGGTGAGCGCAGAGGTTAAGAACACTAACTCCGATCTATCCTTTACACTGGGCGGCTCACGCAGCAAGCATTCTGTGGTCGGTCAGGTTTAGAAAAATCTGTATTTTATAGCCTATCCCACGGAAATTCCTCAAGCCAACAGCAGTGCCTATTAAAACGTCAAAATCTTTGAAAAGTCCTTCAGCTAAGAAATCCACTGAAATCTACGTGGCTAAGGGCTTTCCAAACCCGCTGGGCCACAGACCCTCTCTTTGCCTGACCCTTCGTTAGAGCCTCAGAACGCACTCCCGGGGCCCTAAAAAGAGACCTGAGAAATGGGACTATCCCAGACGGAGCGGTCACAGAGGGAACCTCAAAAAGCAGGGGGAGGGGGTTGTTCATTCAGGAGGTTATTCATGCTGCTCTGAAGCGCACGTGTTAACAGAAACTCACATTCAACCTTCCTGGACACTGTGTCTGAGGGGCTAACTCTTAAAAGATTGTGGTTAAGCCAAAAAAGACAGAGCAGGGGCGCCTGGGTGGCTCAGTCGGTTAAGCGTCCGACTTTCGCTCAGGTCATGATCTCGCGGTTCGTGGGTTCGAGCCCCGCGTCGGGCTCTGTGCCGACTGCCAGCTCAGAGCCTGGAGCCTGTTTCAGTCTGTGACTCCCTCTCTCTCTGACCCTCCCCTGCTCGCGCTGTCTCTCTCTCTCTCCTAGAAATAAAGAAAAATAAAAAAAAAAAAAAAAGAGCAAAGGACGGCCTACCAAAATATACAAACACCTGAACGCAAGGGTCTTTCTTCAGGAGGTGTGTGACTCTTACCCAAGTCACAGAAAACAAAGGGACCCGGTGGGGGGACGCTGTCCGGCCCCGCAAGGTCAGGAAAGGGACTACAGAGCCAAGTGCCCGCAGCGGCTGGTGTGGCGGGGGCTGCGCACGCGGCTCCTCGCTCGTGGGAGGGACTCTCTGCGGATCCCCCAGCACGCGGGACCCCTGGCACCGAGCCCGGGCTCAGCCCTCCGGTCCAACGCAGCGGAAAGGGGGTGTGCGCCGGGATGCGGTGTAGCCTGAGGTTCAGCGGCAACAGGCGGGGCCCGTGACACGGGACGTGTCTTAACCGGAAGGCTCTACACCCAGTCATCCCTGGTGGCTCCGCCCCTTACCCGTAGTCGGCTGGCGCCGAGGGGACGGCGGCCTGGGACGCCTCCGGGGCCTGCGGCGGGGGCGGCGGCGGCGGCTGCTGGGGTCTGTTCAGCGCCAGGTGCCGGGCCGAGGCGGACGGGGGGCGGTACTCATGCTCGGGGGCCGGGGCTGCTGGCCCGTGCGGGGGCGCGTCGCCGGCTGCGTACGAAGGGGTCACGGGCTGCGGGTGCAGAGAGTGGTTGGGGGTCGCCGGGTAGGAGTAATCGGTGACATCCGACGCGTGCGACCTGGCGTCCGGGAAAGAGGGGTGGGAGAAATTCGAATTAAATTCACAGGATTCCCCGCAACGGCCATTAACCCTGTATCTGAACGGCAACCTGACAGAGGCCACGTTTTATCCCGTTTCCCAGCGCCAGGCCCAGCCCCGCGAGCGCTTCCCAGGCCACCACGCCGTCTTGGGTGTTCGGACCGAGGCCCCGGAGTTAGACAGACCCGCAAGCAGGGAGCAGCAGAGCCCGTTTCCGCAGGGTCCCAGCGAGCGGCTTTTCTACGAGAGAAGGCTACGAGCAGGACCCCGGTTAGTCAGTCAGGACGCGGCTCCCGAGGCAGGACCCGGTCAGTCAGGACGCGGCTCCCGAGGCCGGACCCCGGTCAGTCAGTCAGGACGCGGCTCCCGAGGCAGGACCCCGGTCAGTCAGTCAGGACGCGGCTCCCGAGGCAGGACCCGGTCAGTCAGGACGCGGCTCCCGAGGCCGGACCCTGGTCAGTCAGTCAGGACGCGGCTCCCGAGGCAGGACCCCGGTCAGTCAGTCAGGACGCAGCTCCCGAGGCCGGACCCCGGTCAGTCAGGACGCGGCTCCCGAGGCAGGACCCCGGTTAGTCATCAGTCAGGACGCGGCTCCCGAGGCAGGGCATCGGCAACAGCGAGGCTGAGGGCGCAGAGCGGGAGACCGGGCGGCGGTGAGCTGGGTCCACGTGGACGGACAGAAAGGGACAAGGGGTCAAGAACGCGATACAGTGAATGGCAGTTTGAGGAGACGGAAGAAGTGTATTCAGCCGAAGAAGAAAGAAAGTGTGGGGTAATATGGAAAGGGCTTCTTTTCTCTGAACGCACGGCCGAGTGGGAAGCTCTGGAAGGAACGGAGACCTCGGATTAGGGGAGCAGAGCTCGGCAAGCTGCGGACAGAGCGGGGACCCGGGAGGCGTCATAACGGCAGCGGCGCCGCGTCCCCGCCCGGGTTAGCGGTCGGGGCCCAGGACGCGGGGTCGGGAAGGGGGCCGCGGGGCCCCTCAGGACAAGCCGAAGCGGGGCGGGCAAGCGGAGGCTGGGGTCTGAGGGCGCGAAGTGACGAACCCTCGGGGCGCTCTGTCCTCTGCCGGGCTCCCTGCCCGCGCCTGCTCCTTGGCGTCACTCATGAACTCAATGCCCATTTTCCTCCTCTCCCACTCTTCTCTTCTGGTTCTTACTTTTCTCACATTTATCTGCTGGTTTCTGTTAGGGTTCAGCTTGTGTTTCTCTCTCTGAAGGAAAGAGGCAAACACACATTGGGGATGTGGGGGGCGGGGTAGCAGGGAAGGCACCACCTGAATTTCCATCTTTGAAATTCCGACGGCAGCTTCCCTGACCAGAGCGTCGCTCGGCACAGAAAAGCATCCTAAATGCAAGAGGCTGCTTTTTTGCTCTTTTTCTTCCCTGACTGCAGTATAATGATAACGAGTAACTCACTTTTTGCTTCTGAGTTGCAGTAGAAATTCTAGATTATGGTGTGCAGAGGAGTATGTCTGGTGGACTATGCAAACTGCTGGCGAGTGAGTTGAAAATATTTTTAATGCGGGAAGGACCCAGCCTCACTGCACTAAGCCTCTGGAGTCACGGGTGATGAGTGACTGCCTGTGTGCGTGTGGCTGTGTCACAGGCTGTGAGCACCACTTTCTCCAGGAAATGAAATTATCTCTCAAAGTATGCAGCACTACGGATGAGAGGCGGCCAGAAACTGTAAACATCCGGGCTCTGCTCTAGCAGAGGAGCCTTGTGACAGGGCCGGAGGAGCCGGTGAATGGGGAAGGAAGACTAGACGGAGGAGAGAGTAAAGGAGGAGGCGATGGGTGTCTGAGGAGAGAACAGCAACAGGAGAGGTCTGGAGGGCAGGCTCTGGTGAAGCGTGGGCTGGAGAGGGGCTGCTCTGTTGGGGGGTCCCAATGGGCTGGAGGAAAGGTGGGGCTTCGAGGGTCTGCTGGCGGACAGGCGTTCGGACACCCCTGCGGGAAGGAAGCAGTCAGCCCCAGAAAATGCTGTACCAAGGTGGAGAGGAGTGGGGTGGTCCTGGAGCGTCAAGATCATCACTGATTATCTGTTACAGGAAAGAAGATGGTAGGAGTGAAGACCACATGGAAAAAGGAAGAAGAAAGTGTGGGCAGTGGAGACTCAGACGGGGAATCAACAGACTTCCCCAGGGTCTGGTGGGAAGAAAGGTGAGCGGTGGGACAGCTGTCACACAGGGCACAGGATAGGAAGAGACAAGTACCAGGACACCTGGGCTGGAGGTATCCACTCCGGGTAAGGGCGAGAGAGGGCGGTAGGCAAGTATGTCCATTCTCATCCTGAATTTACACTTATAATCAAACCACTCCTGATCAACAGAGCAAAATTTCATGGTTAGCTTATGTGGGCTGGATTAAAATATATTACTTATAATACGAACAGGTTATACACATGCCATGAAAACTGATATTGCAGTTCAACTCAGTTGTCCCCAATACATCCATTAAAAACCTTGTTTCTAAATAATCCTTAAAACATAAATCTGAAATAATAAAAGTCAGAAGACAGAAAACAGCCAGATTTCAGTTTCGTAGAAGAAAAACATACGTGTACAGAAAAAAGACCAAAGGGGGAAATACACTAAAAAGCAAACAGGGGTTTCTCTGGATGACAGGATTATGGATAATATTTTACTTTTCTTCGGTACTTTCCAAATATAAAAAGGTTATTTTACAATAAGAAAAAGCGATACGCTTTAGCAAAATGAAAAATAAAAGTTTCTAAGTTAAGGGAGGGAATCCAAGTGTACTGATGAATCTTAATCTATTATCTGGTTCATGCAGATAGTAAGAAGCTACGGGAAATAGGACTGACATTCTGCAAAATAAGAAAATGAAGAGGTACCGAAACAACATAAATACAAAGGCAGAATACTAAATAATCTCAATAACCATCAGTTTTATACCCAACATGAAACAACTGAATCTCAGATGCTGGAATGAATAACAATCCTTTGACTGAGGGGTTAAAAAAAATCATTTTTTCATCTGCATCCGTTGAAACAGACGAGTAAATAAATGGAATATTTTAAAATAAGGTATATGTTTTCTGTGAGGAAATAAGCACAACCAAATTAGCTGGGGGAAAAATGCCAAAAAAGCAAATTGACACTCTCAAGGCTATCACACTCAAGTGCCCCTCCTCACCCCAAGAGCCATGAGCAAACCCAAATCACCATTATTATTTTCTATGGAAATAAGGGAACACAGAGATTCAAACTTGAGGCAAGCGCTCAGTCAAAGCTCCAATAATTTTCTACTACCGAATAGTACCAGCTTGAACAGAAGAACTGCCTAGAACTTGCCCCCTAACACAGCCAATCAATGACTTACAGCCCTTCTGGGGTAGGGATATTTCTGGGCGTGGGTACTACCAAATTCAAAAAACATCTTGTGCAGAGGGGTTTTTGGGTAAAAAGGGACACAGAGGGTAAAAGGGACACAGATGCCATGCCATGTCCAGGTTGTTGCCGTTTCTAGAACATTCTCGGGTCCCTTAGGAATTCTCGATTCAAATCTAGAAATGTTGACAGAAGACCCTGAGGCTGTAGGCAAGTGGAAGACCATGGCCTTCCAAAAGCAGAGACGGGAAATTAAACAGAAGTAAAAATGGACCAGTCGGCTTCTGTGGTTCCGTGAATCCCTTTTGCAACAAATGTTGACTTAGCCACCACATCATTCACACCTGCAAGGAATTTTTTTTTTTTTTTTTTTTTTACTTAAATGCTTACAGTCACTCCAACAGAATTCTTCTCCTGAAATTAGAATACATAAGATTAGTACACTGCAGAAATAACTACTGCTTTGGCTCACGCTCTTAGAAAAATGTTATTAAAAAGAGTAACAAAGTTGCATCTTAGGCATGTCAATTGCTACCTGCTGATTATTTTTAGATCCCAAGTGGCAAAGGAAACTCAAGAGTCAAAGCTAAAAAGGAAGAATGAACTATGGTTAAAATAAAAATGTTAAGTCACTGACAGTCATTAAGCCCAAATTCAGCGTCGGCGTTAAAACACGACATCTAGGTTAACGGGACAACAAACTGAGGGCAGAGGGATGGAGAGCCATACAAAGTAACCCACCGTAAGATGGAAACTGCTGCAGAGTATTATTTCACAATCAAAATCATTTTTAAGGAAAGCTTTGGAACATACTGTGGGCTACACGAGCACCAAAGCCCCCGGTACGTTTCCAACATGTCATCAAAGCATGGACCACCCCGAGGCTGTGCTAAAACACAGGCGCACACACCTAGTGCCTGGGGACAGGGACCCCTCCGAAGATGCTCCGTGGTACACACTCTGAGACAGCCTGTTGTCAGGTCTCAGCTCCTTGTCATAAGCCATCATACTCCACTCCTGGCGCCTGTTTCTGGCTTTCCTAACCTTTTTCACCTCGCGCGCTGTGCCATCTATACGCTTTTGCTCCTGACGTCCAAGAAGAGAAGGCAAGCAGGCCGAGACAGAAGGGAAAGGAAAACAGAAGTTAAACGCAGTCGTAATGCACAGGACACAAGCGTGGCGTGCAGACAAGAGACATTCCCATTTCCGGTCGTTTTAATGTTAAGAAAATTCTAACACCTCATATACCCTCTTACCTAACACAGGCCCAGCAGAGGGAGCGGATACTTAACTATGGAAGCTAAAGAAATAAAAGCTCCAGGCCGGGCTGTAGTTAACTACAGGAACTGCTGACCATCATTTGTGGTAAAGAATTCACACCTTAAGGGGCGCCTGGGTGGCTCAGCCGGCTAGGTGTCCGACTCTTGGTTTCAGCTCAGGGCTCACACGATCTCATGGTTCAGGAGTTCGAGCCCTGCATCGGATGCTCTGCGGTCTCTACAGAGCCCATTTTGGCGCCTTTGTCCCCCACTCTCTCTGGCCCTCCCCTGCTCGCACTCTCCCTCCGTCTCTCTCAAAATAATAAACTTAAAGAAAAGGATTCACACCTTACTAGGCTTTTAGCTTGTTTTAAATGTGCTGTATCTTTTAGATTTTTATTATACAGATGAAATACCCAACATGCACTGAAATCATTTCCTACGACTACACAATTTTAACTGAATTGTTAACAGGCGATCATGTTTCACAAAGTAACTCAAAACACTCTACTTCCGGGCTCTAGTAGACCATTACAGAACATTTAAGCTAATCCTGCAACTAGATGAACACAAAACACGGTAAGGACTTACCTTCACATACACAGAATCATTCTTGCACCAGTCCTACTTTGCCAGCAAAAATGTCTCCAGAAAATATACGAGTCCCCCATAATGTTTCTTTAAAGGTGAGAACGGTTATTTTGACGTGTGTTTCCATGTTTTTCCTGCTTCCCAAGTAAGATGTCCTGGTCTTTAAGGATGAAAACTATGTGCCTTTAACTCCTACACTCCTCTTAAAGTACCTCCACACATGGCTTTACGGAGTACACATTCAGCACCCGCTGACTGTACGATCCAGTCTAGGTGGGCTCAGGGTGCTTACTACGTCCCAGACACCATGTCAGGTGCTGGTGACACAAACAGCAAACAAACAAACAAGGAATCTGCCCTCAGAGCCTGCAATCCAGTGGGCAAAGCCCACAAAATCACACAAACAAACGTCTAGTTATAAAATGTGGCAAAAACATAAACGCGTCATACACTGAATGCTGCCTCGTCTGGAGGCTGGGGAGTGACTGGGACGCCAGCTGTGCCCCGTGAGCAAGCGTTAATTCTGCAAAGGAGCAGGGGTCCCAGCATGCCCAGAGGGAAGAGAATGTGCAGAGGCGCAGAGGCCAATAAAGAAGGTAAATGGTGAGTTAAGGTGAAAGGCTCCAGGATCTAAAAGGGAGGCGGGGCCTTAATGGCTGCGTCACAAGTGTTCTTCTTTATGCCAAGAGCAGCGGGAAACCCCTGAAGAGTGACACGGGAGGGCTACACCCTGCCGAGGCTCGTGGGAAGAGCCCTCCAGGACATGGAGAACAGAGCAAAAGGGGGAAAGCGAAAAATAAATGAATAAAATTAAAATAAATAAAAAATAAAAGGGGGGAGGGCAGGGATACCAGGTGTGGTGTACTGGCAGAGGATGTGAACGTGGACTTCACAGGACATATATAAAGATATGTAAGGCGAATTAGATGGGGGGCGAGGGGGGAGCTCATGCAAAACATAGTAATATCCAGGTCTGGAAGAAGTCTGTTATGCATATAAACTGGAGCAGTCTTTTAATGGTCAGGGGCCACAGGATGGCATGTTTCAAAATTTACAACTCCTATTTGTCTTCTAGGAATTTACCCAGAAGAAATACCTACACGTGAGTAGAGCAGTATTGCAGTGAATATTTCCCAATGCACTAACGGGTAAATAGCTTATGCGGTGGCCATACCTTGGAATGCCATACAACTGTTAAAAAGACCAAAGAAAATCTTTAAGGATGTCAACAGATGTACATGTCTGCATGTATGTGTAAGTCACGAGGAGGACAGATCTATGCATCTAAAACTATTTTGTGAAATGGGTGTGCATGTATTTACGAAAGCTTAAAAGATGTAAAAATATGCACGCTGAGCTGTTACCACTGACACCTGGGGAGGGGAGAGACCTCTCCCCAAATGTTCTAACATGTTTACTTCCGGGTACTTTGAGCATTTTCCAACTTGCATCTATTGTGCGCATACTTGTAGAAACCCAAAAGAGGGAGGTTTCCAAGGAAGGATTTCAATACCCATCCTGGTTCAGAATTATCTGCAACTGTCTTTACAGTGATCAGCCTCCAGATCTACCCATCATCATGCACATCACACACATACCCGCATGTGTGTGCGCACACACACACACATACACACACACACAAACTCTGACAAAGTTTTAACAGTGATGCATCCATGCTCCAACTACGCTGGCCTAAAATCCCCAGAATGTGTCCAACTGTCTCCCAGCCCAGGACGATCTTAGCTGCTTCTACCCTGAACACGCCTCAGTTCTGAAGTAACCCCCACCTCCTCTGTCCTCCACTCCTCCGGCATCCCCCCTCTCTCGCCCATGCATGCGTGCACACACACACACACACCCTGCCCCGATTCTGCTCAGCTGACTTCTAAGTCCCCAGTGCCGGAGCTCAGGGAAGGACCCTCCGCTGCGTTTTCAGTGTCCCCTCTTCCTCGTCCCCTCACCCACCCACATTGCATGTTTCCTTCACTTACAGCGCTGTAACTACATGCTTACAACTACGTATTTATTCACATAATTTTAAAAATGTTTCTAAACCAGCAAGCTAAGGAAACCAAGTTCAGAAACAATGAATTTCTCACCCCCTCAATTTAAAAAAATTTTTTTTAATGTTTTATTTATTTTTGAGACAGAGTGAGACAGAGCATGAGAGGGGGAGGGGCAGAGAGAGAGGAAGACACAGAATCTGAAACAGGCTCCAGGCTCTGAGCTGTCAGCACAGAGCCTGACACGGGGCTCGAACCCACGAACATGAGATCATGACCTGAGCTGAAGTTGGGGCCTTAACCGACTCAATTTTTCTAAATGAATTTTTCTTCAGAGGCTGGTCAGTGCCAAACGGAAAAGAAACAACCTGTATTTAGGAAACCCTGGGAGATGAAGGCTACCTGGTGTCATTTTTCATTCCTATGTAATAAAAGCAGATTCGTACTAGAATGTTCACATTTCTTCCCCCCTTTATGAGCTCCAACAGGCTGCAGGATAACTTCATGCGTGTTCCCCCCGCTACACTGTCATCTCCATGAGGGTGGTAATCCTTTCTCACCACTGTTTACCCAAAAGTCAGAAGGCCTTGAAGAAACATTATATACGTGAGTAAGAAATCCTCATCAGAACATTACATGTTGAATGAACGTGCAAGGAGACAAAGCAGCCAAACATGGCAGGATTTTGAATGCATGACCACCACCAATGAACCAATACTGCTTTCCCCGGAAGGACAAGGCTGAAAAAATTGAGGTATTTTTGCCAAAATATCCCTGAGAAGGGACACCTAGAAGGCCATTTAAAAGGACATCATGTTGTAAAGGAAAATACTCTTAAGCCTCTGTTAATATAAAAAGGTTCAGGGACTGACAGCACGGGGCCTTTAGACATAGTAGGTTGCTTTTCCTGTCAAGAGATTAGGGTCTTTCTGTTTTTCACTGAAATACTTTGTAATTTCTTACTTGAATACTTTTCCACTGGAATATTCAGCAGCTCTTCCCAGAATCTCCCAATGAATCTCCCCGACCCACGGCGCAGGGATAGAGTGTGAATAACCAACCTCTGGGATCCTTCTCTGGGCTTCACTGAGAACGTCTCACACTTGCAGTCTGCAATCTCTTTCCGTGTCCCTTTCTTAAATCCTATTTTCAAATCTCAAAGTCTCTTCCATCCCAAAGTGTCACTTCTATGGGGCCAGCACATCTACGTGCTTCCAAACATGAAGGCCACTGACCCACAAGATGCTAAGAATTTGTCTTAACTAAAGCACGTTAATCTCGGTCAAGCAAACCAGGTACTCATTTTTTTTAAAACACAGTTTACATCTATAAGTCTTGGCAAATATTTGCCTTTGGAGAATTAACTCTCAGTGGGTTGTCTCGTTTCTGGGCCCCAAAGGACAGTTTTAAAAATAGAAGTCCCTAGGGGCGCCTGGGTGGTTCAGTCAGTTAAATGGCCAACTTCTGCTCAGGTCATGATCTCACAGTTCATGGGTTCGAGCCCTGAGCCGGGCTCTGTGCTGACAGTTCAGAGCCTGGAACCTGCTTCGGATTCCATGTCACCCTCTCTCTCTGCCTCTCCCCCCCTCGCACTCTGTCTCTCTCTCAAAAATAAACAAACATTAAAGAAAAAAACACAGAAGTCCCTAAACCTGAGCAGAGTGGTTTATTCTTCTAAGAGTGCTTATAATGTGGACATTTCTCAACCTTCAGACTTGCAGGTCTCTTGCCTACAACCACCCCACCAAAAGGAATCTCATTTTTTAGTAAATACTATCCCCTAAAAGTACAGATCACACATGCTTTTTCAATCCACTATGAACATCTCACCAAGGTATTAATTACAGTGAGGTGCCAATGCTTTGAAGAGATGAGAGCACAGATGACTGTATCTGATATTTCCATTATACAGATTTAAAGTGCAGAGGGAGAAAAGTTATAAAACACAGTTACGAACAGAATTGAAATATTAGCCACTACTTCTACTAAAGCAGTGTAAGTATTAGGGGGTGGGTTAAATAGTATTCATTGAAATACAGTATTACTGTGTTAGGCTGGATGGTCAGTATCTTCATGTAAAAAACGCAACCTGTACTTCTGCCCTAAATCCAGCATCTCAACCATTTAAATAAAGAACTTACTTGGGGCGCCTGGGTGGCTCAGTCAGTTGAGCGTCCAACTTTGGCTCAGGTCATGATCTCATGGTTCGTGGGTTCGAGCCCTGCGTCGGGCTCTGTGCTGACTGCCAGCTCAGAGCCTGGAGCCTGCTTCAGATTCTGTCTCCATCCCTCTCTGACCCTCCCCTGCTCATGCTGTCTCTCTCTCTCAGAAATAAATAAAAACGTTAAAAAAAATAAAGAACTTACTGGCTTATTTCTAAACAAGATTCTCACTGAGAAACCAATACGCACGTTCCCACCCTAGAATTATTTACCTTTTGACGCCTTTTCTCCTTCCTTTTGTCTTCTGTGTCCTGTAGCATTTTCTCTTTCCAGAGGTCAAAGAAATAGGAAGGATCTGTATAGAACTTCAGTCCATCCTTTTTATCATCTCTATAAATCAGTGTATTAGGAGTCGGGGAGAAAAAGTTGTTAGCTATTTTCATATGGGGTTAACATTAATTTCATTTTAACTCACGAGACGATAACATCTGCATGGGGAATGGCGGCTGCCCTGTACGTTACGTTTCTGGGATTTCTTTTTCTGACAAAACCACAGATATACAAGAAGAACAATGTTTTCTAGAATAATCAGGCAAAATGTACCCTTGCCAATTCGGATTTAAGTACAGAGAAGTGCCTGAAAATGCACAAGAGGGCTCATAAACAGTATCGAATGCCTCAATTATTTCAGGAAATGTTGTGTTTATCCCAACAGGGGCTGGATGGGTTTCTGGCATGTGTGTACATTCACCTCATCTCTGCAGTTTCAGGATTATTCAGAGAAAAAGTAAGAAGTACGCGGGGCGCCCAGGTCAGTTAGTACTAGGCTTTGCCTCTGGTCATGTTCTTGTGGTCTTGTGAGTTCAAGCCCTGCGTCGGGTTCTGTGCTGACAGCTCAGAGTGCATTTTTTCTGAATTAGGTAACAAATGCCTCCGCAGTGCCGAAATGCGGAGACCGGTATTTTGCTGAATTCTAAATGAACTACGCGGCTCCTTTAAAACCGACCTTGAGCATGAAGAACAATAGGACGGCATCAGGCAAGGTGTCTGCTTCCACGACAGACACCTACACTCAGCTCTCTACATGAGGAGGTGCGTACAACAGGTGTCTCCTTCAGACACAGAAGCTAACGTGAGGCTCACGCTTCTCCTGGAGAGTTTATCTACAGTTTCAAATACGACCCCTTTAACGTCTGTATTAGTAGCTCATTTTGTCGTATATAATATTGCAATTGCTATTTTCCGGGTTTAGTTTCACAGCACCGCCCCCGAGACCAAAAAGGGCACCAGGAATGCACGAAGCCGTACCTGTACGGTGTGAGGATGTTCAGAGGAGGCGGCTTATCGCTCTGGTTGTAAATGTCAGCAACGGGATTAGGGATGCTGTTCTTTGAAACCACCTGCTGGTCTTGGACTGTGGAACTTTTGAAAGCCTTTTTCATGTTGATATCCTGCAGTGACACTATTTAGAGAAAAGTCCCCCAAGTTGGGTTACATAGAAATATTTGTAACCGTTCAGAGGCAAGTATCATTTGAGACATAATCATAAACACTCCCTCGAATAACAAGATCGTGTTTTTATTGTTCATGTTTAAAGGCATGTGCATTACATAGCATGTGCCTTCCTTCCCTCTTACAAATAACAGGAATCTCTATAAAATGAAGTCAAATCCTGTCTTTCCCTCTTCTGTAGTGATCTAATTATTTCTCTGAACCTAATATTAGAGCCTCATTCTTTCTAATAGCACTTTGCAGAAGCCACACGGAATACGGTTGAGTATAACAGGCATGTAAATACAAAGACTGGGTATCCTAGAAGGAAAAAACATTCAGTTAATACCCGTTGAGCTATAACACATGTATGAAATGTGTCTGCAAAAAACCCCACAAATGTAAAAAGCTCATTAAGTTTTCTTGACGTTGACATTAAAGAAAGACGGCAAGGCTTTTCTACAGTCCTAGGAACTAAGTCGCAGGACATAAAAACTACACTGAGGGGGAGAAAATCAGGGCTGATTATACTTATTTCTTGTTTGTACAACACTTTGTGTCTCGTGCATTAACTCATCTAGCCGTGGCGTCAACTCTTTGAAACTAGCCCCCTGGTCCCTTAATTCACTCGACCAGTGAAGGTGAGTGTCAGGTGTAAAGTGACCCTTCCAAGATCACCCAGCAAAAAAAAAAAGGTAGGTCCGAAACAGAACCCGGATTTCCTAACTTGGTCACATGTTTTTTTCCTACTATAACATCCATGCCAAGAAAAGCAATCAGGTAAATCTTGACTGGAAAGGCTTTTAAGGGTATGAGGTAGATACACTGCAAAATCTTTGGAAGTCTAATGCACAGATTAACCTTTTCCAGCATGAGGTTTATCACTGGTGTTCCAACGGCCAAGAAACCACAAAAACAAAACTGAAGGAAGATGAATAAATACTAAAAATCATTTGTGATACCAATTTGAAAAATGAATGAATGACTGGCTTAAAATGTTAAAATTCCTTACCTGAATAGACCACACAGCTATCTAAGCTTTTACTTTTTCAAGCAAGATAAATTTTAAAAATCAGATTAAAGAATGCTCAGCATGGATATTAAAATGTCAACGCTCTACGTTTTTGTTAAACTTCTAATTCACTAATTTAAAAACAGCCTTTGAAAAGCCCTGAGCATGAGTAAACATAGGTTTTTAAGTGATGGGGGCTGAATTCCATAAAATGCTACATTTTTTAAAAAATAAAACTTTCATTTTTTACTAATACTACTATTGTACGTCGAGGAGAAAAAGCAGATGCTAAGTTCATTTGAACGCAACAAGAGAAACCGTAACTATCACAGTAATTGTTACTCTAAACATTTCCCTCAAGTATGAAATGATAACATCTTACGCTTTTTTTCAAGTTTTCTTTTTCCAGTCTAATCTCAGTCTCTCATTCAAAAGATACAGAAAGTGAAATCTTGAATAAGGAATTGTGGAATTTTAATTGTGGAACTGTCACAACTTCACAATATATCTCCAAAATGATTCCCAGTTAACTACACAGCACTTACCAATAATAACTTTATTTTAAAACCCTGAAAAGGCCTTCGGTAAATGCCGTGTGTTGAGGCGTTCAATCAGCAGAATCACCAAGATTATGTCCAGGCATCAACACCAACGAGGCTAGCACCTAGAAGCCTTCCGTCAGTACATCGGGTATGTATCACCCCCCTCTTGGCTGGACCACATCTTTTGAGTGATTCCGTGACTTTTAGTCAAGAGAGTATCTTTACAATAACTATCAATGACCTAAATTAGGGTTTCTAACACCGAATTCATTCAAAGAACCCTTTAGCACAAATACTACATGTGTACGTTTTTTAAAAAAAGAGTATGGCATACATAAGGTAGACAAGAATCTTTTAATTACTAAGTAACCCAATGCTGTGGTTCTCCCCCTCCCTTTAATATTCTTCTAGAAAGGACGAGATGAAATATCAGCACGCTACCCCAAAGAAAAAGCAGTGATTACATCACAATTAATGACTACTGTCTTGTCAATGCCTCTTCCTGCTCACTCCTTTCATGCAATCACCTACCCTCTTCCACTGTTGAATCCAGCTGTGTAACTTTGACAGCAAGACGATCAATTCTGTCTTGAAGAGAATTTGCTCTGATGTAGAAGTTGTTAGCCTCATTAAACAGCTCACCAAATATGTCTTCAGCATGTTTGCCTATAGGAGAAAATGAATGGAGAAGGCCATCTGCTAAGAACTGCTGAAGCGGCTTTCACGCGTTCTCGCCAATGCCGATGACTGTCAACACATGCGATGCTGTGCACGTGATTATAAAATTAAAGTGTCAGGGGCAAAGCCTTGACGACTTTTGAAACCGTACAGTAGAAATTCATATAGATCTGAAGCTGACCCAAAGTTGTCAAGTTTTCACATACTATAGAATTTTCATTAATTTGCTACATGAGCTACCTTGAAAGTTGTTTCCCATTAAACTTCCTTGGGAAAAAATTGCTCACATTTTGCATGCTTTACATATAAATAGAATCTTGGGACCTTACCCTTCCTTTTACTTCCCAAGATAATTAAATAAATCATGTTGGTTTCTAAATTTAAGATTCTGCTTCATTCACAAACAGAAACATTAGGGTATCTTACGTTGCACCTAACATTCTCTAGTGGCGTTAAACTGTTCTAATCCATATTTTGAAACCTAAGCACTCTCTAAATATCTGGCACTCTCTAAAAATCACTATTCTGTATTCTAATTTTTTTTTTATGGATCCTTACGAGTGCCAGATACAACTACTCCCATTTTTCTTAAAATGTAATAAAAAAAATTTCTGAAAAGATAGGAATGCTTGAATTCCCAAATCCTGACATCATTCCTTTAGTCATTCAACAAACTTTTAATAACGGTCCACCCTGAGTGTGCAAGGCGCAACTGCATTTTCTCTCTGCCAGAGATAACACTTAAAAAAAAAAAAAAGACTTTACTTTTAAGAACATTTCCAGTTCACAGAAAAATCTATCAGAGGGCACAGAAAGTTCCCATATACTCCCCAACCCCATCACACACAGCCTCCCCACTATCAACATCCCACACAGAGAAATGCACTTGTTATAACTGATTAACTCACACTGATGCATCAATACATCCAAAGTCTAGTTTACGTGAGGGGTCGCGCTTGAGGTTATACATTCTATGGACTTTGACAGATGTATAAAAGACATATGTATCCACCATTAGGGTAGCAACAAAATAGTTTTGCTGACCTGAAAATCCTTTATGCTCTACCTATTTACCTCCCTCTCAATCCTAGCAACCGCTGATTTTCACGGTCCTGTTTTGCCTTTCCTGGAATGTCGTATAGTAGGAATCATAATTAATTATAATCACATTTGCTTAGTCATAAGCACTTCAGGTTCCCTGTTTTTTCATGGCAAGACAGCCAGTTTCTGTTTAGCGCTAATGTCCCACTGTCTGGATGGAGCAGTTTGGTTATCCATTCTGCTGCTGACGGCCACCCTGGTTGCTTCAGGCGTCTGTGGGTAATGAATAAACAGCTGTGTGCAGGCTTTTGTGTGGGCAAAAGTTTTCAAGTCGTCTGGGTAAACACCAACAAGCAGGAATGCCAGATGGCATGGTAAGAATATGTTCATTTTTGTAATACAGTCGGGGCACCTGGGTGGCTCAGTGGGTTAAGCGTCTTGACTTTGCTTCTGGTCATGATCTCACAGTTTGTGAGTTCGAGCCCCGCGTCAGGCTCTGTGCTGACAAGTAGCTCAGAGCCTGGAGCCTGCTTCAGATTCTGTCTCCCTCTCTCTCTCTCTGCCCCTCCCTCTCTCATGCTCTGTCTCTCTCTTTCAAAAATAAATAAACCTTGAAAAAAAGAAACAGTCTTTGAAAGTGGTGGTATCATTTTGCATTCCTACCAGCCATGTATTTGAGTTCCCGTTGCTCCACATTCTCATCAGCATTTCATGTTGTAGGTATTCTGGATTTTAGCCCTTCTGAAAGGTGTGAAGGGGCTATCTCATTTTAATTTGCATTTCCCTGATGACCTACAATATTAAATACCTGTTCATATGTGCTGTGACTGCCATCTGTAACATCTTCTTTGGTGAGATGTCTGTTCAGGCCTTTTTTCTATCATTTTTTGCCCATTTTCTAATCAGGTTGTTAGTTTTCTTCTTATTAAATATTAAGAGATCTTTGTATATTATAGACAACAACCTTTTTATTAGATTATGTCTTCTGCAATATTTTCCCCCAGTCTGTGGGCTGTCTTATTATTCTCCTATCTTTTACAGAGCATAAGTTTTTAATTTTAATTCTTCTGGAAAGAATGCTTACTTAAAGCGAGAATAACCGTAATGTTTTCATGGTGCTTTACAACTTATACAGTCTGATATCCGCTTTCCAGACTGCCTGCTGTAATTCACAATACCGCAAAATGTGAGAATAAGAACCATGCCTGTCTGTTCAGTGTTGCAGGGCAGCCCTAGAACAATGAGTCCTGACAAATGCCTGTTCAATGAACGCACCGGCTTAGGAGGTCAACAGCGAATTACTGCTTTCATTTTCCAGATGACCAACCTGACCATCAGAAAGGTGATCTGTTCAAATCCTGTGGCTAGTAAGTGGCAGAAAGAGATGAAACTGCACTTGATCTCCTAACTTCTAATCTCCTGCTTTTATCATATACTTCCCTGCTTAGACACTTCCACAAATTATTTTAGGCCATAAGCCACATGGTCATTTCCTATTTACTTAATGAAAGGGACTAACATATTTGCTGCCTAGATGGTCACTCCCAGACACGGGATAAGCATTTCTTGTGAATCTAAAGGCAGTACGATTTCATAAATTCCCACAGTGTGACCATCCTAACCAGAGGAACTTTCTCTTTAAAAAATGGCGGCAATGAAGAAATCGATAAAAACATTCTGTATCTAAAAACTCATCCCTTTGCCAAAAATGGATGGGGAGCCCAAGACTACTGATCTCAGCTGAGCAATCAATCGTTTTCTCTTAAAGTTTGGTAGCTATTTTATGATCTGCTAGAGTCGCTTAATATCCTGCCAACACTTTCCACGGCCACATATACAAAATCGTTTCCAAAAAGGCAAGGGAAGGAAATAAAGTCTTCACAAATTACATGCTTTTGAAACTGTGTAACTAGATGCGGTCTCCAGAATTAACATGTGTTCACTGCCTTGTGAACTGTTTCCTGAGGGCCAGACGTGTGTACCTCACTAGCTCATGAACACCTCCGCGCTGATGTCCTCTAGAACCTCAACTGCTGCACGGGTTCTAACAGGGATTCATTGCCACGTGAACTCAAAGCTGCAGCCCCGTGTGGAAAGGTATCATCACCTAAAGGGAAGCCCAAGGAGAAATGAAGTCATCTGAGGTTGCTGCCTCCCACTATAGCTCACCGAACACTAAACCTTGTCACCTGCCTCTTCCTGGCACCCCTGAGCTCTGACCCTCCCCGGTCCCCTCCTGAGTTACATACGGCAACGGTTGTTGTTGCTTTGTTTCTGCTTGCAGGCTCACCTCCCACCCTCAAACTGGCCCATCACACCGCTGCCACGTGATCTTTCTAAAAGAAAGATCCGACTGTCCCTCCTACTCAAATTCTCCACTGCTCCCCGTCACCTCCAGATAAAATCTAGACCTCCTGGCGGGACACAGAAGGCCCCGTGTGCCTCACTTCCGTCTTTCCCTTGTGCCCCAGTTGGGATGAACTACTTGCGATGCCCAATTCTCGTCCCCACACATCATGCTACTGCTCCCAAGTCCCTTCCATGCCTTGTCATCCCACTCAGAGTAAAAGCCAAGGCCACGGGACGCTTACAAAGGTCACATGATGTGAATCCATTTGCCCTGCTGGCCTCGTTCACTACGCCACCCTCTCCCCATATTCGGCTCCCAACTTCACTGGATTCTTGCTCTTTCTCAGACATGCCGATCATGATCATACTCGCTTCTCCTCGGGGGGCTGCACTTCCTGTTCCTTCTCCCTGGATCATTTCTGTCCCGGAAACTCACATAGTTTGGTCCCTCACTTCATCCAGGTCTATACCCAAACGTGACCTTCTAAATGAGACATCTCTAGCAACTCAGCTACAAATGCAATCACTTCACCACACACAGGCACATATACACCCTTGTCTTCTCCCTGCTGTCTTTTTCTCCTCAGCGTTTACCACCATGTCATAATTGTACAATTCGTACTTTCTTTTTAAGTTGATTTTGAGAGACAGAGAGTGTGCACAAGTCGGGGAGGGACAGAGAGAGAGAGAGAGAGAGAGAGAGAGAAGGAGAGATTGAGAATCCCAAGCAGGCTCCACACTGTCAGCAAGGAGCCCAATTTGGGATTCGAACTCACGAACCATGAGATCACGACCTGAGTCAAAACCAAGAGCCAGACACTTAACTGACTGAGCCCCCCAGGTAACCCGTACACTCATACTTATTCCTCTTATTTCCTGCCTGTCTCCTTCCACTAGAATGTATGACCCCCAGAGGCCAAGGGCTCTACTGGGTTCTGTGCAGCTGTATCAATCTCCAAGCTCTAGGGCATGTCTACCTTGTAGTATGTGCTCAAAGAGATTTGGGAATAAATGAATAAAAACGTATGAGCTTAAAATCAATCGCTCAGGATGCAGATGGGGGGACGATCATGCCTCTCTCTGTGTTCCCACAATACCCTAAGCATACCCCAATCACAGCACTCTTCACATAATTCAATCATTATCTGTACAGTTCTTTGAAGGTAAATGTTCAATGCCTTTTATCTCTTCGTTGCCTGTGCTGAGTTAGTGCTCAGAGAGGATCTCTTGAACAAAAAACCTACAATCTCTACCAGTGTTTTCTTGTGAACGCATACACAACCAACGAAAGCTCCCGGCTCAAGCAGGCTTGGGAAATGCTGGGCTAAAAAGATTAAACATGCTTCTCTGCCTTGGGGTATCTCCAATCTTTAATATGCTCATGTGCCATAGGAATCCCTAAGAGAAGCATCTAGTGTACCATGTCTTCAAATGGACTGGGCCTGGCAACACCCTAATGGCCTCCATTGGAAATACTGTGTTAGGACACCATTCAGGAAAATGCCCACTGGGGCTGGATGATCTGTGGGCAAAGTACCAGGTCCCAAATGGTTTCCATCCAAGTCTCTCAGTTGTTTATTCTGAAATCCAGACATGAT